TTAGTGGAACACCTGTCAAAGCCAGCATGGAAAGGAAGAAGACAACCAGCTCAAATAGCCTCAAGTACTGCAGTGTTACTGTAGAAATGACCAAATAAAAGTGAAATTCAAACATGCACACACACCCCCACCCCATCCCCCTGCAACAGAAACCTTGGTTATTGTAATGCCCGACTGGAAGAGAGAGGTTCTGGCCACACCTAATCAAGCCTGCTTAGCACATAAGGTAACTGAGATAGAGATAAAAAAATGTATGGCTCTACAGATATCATGAAGACCACAGATAATCACCACTCTTGAATAAACTGAGGAACTCTGATCTGCATACAGCATAATATACACAAGCCCAGAACAGCATGGCACCTTACATCTCCAGTACGCTACTTCTACAGTATGTGAGTTATAAATCAGTAAAACTATTTAAACAAGGCCTGAACACATTTAGTTCTTACTTGTCTGTTTGCATCATAAAACACAAGTGTTTCACTTAAATATTTGGGCATTTTTCTCCCTGCTCAAATCATATTCAACTAGAGGACAGCTATAGTAAGAAGTATTTGCACCATCTTACTCTGCCAGAACTTCATGACTCCAACAACTTTCTTCTCTGCTGCTTTAAGGAACTGAAAATCTCTTCCACATAATACATGGCAACTCTAAAAGCTTTGTATTTAGTATTTCTTCAATGCATTTTTAATATATTTAACTTCCATGTCCAAACAAATGTTAACTGAATATTGCCTTTGGGATATGTGAAATAAAACTGAACATATCTGATGAACTGTACCCAACCAGATACAGTGGACAAATAACGTCACAAAATGCCAGGAACATTCATCAGTTATGTTTAATAAAAGAAAAATAGAAAATTAAAATAAAATAAATCAGCCAACCCTGTTTCCTACAACTAGTTCCATACTTGCTGGCAAGAAGAGTAAAAAATGGAGTAAACTGCTTCTTCCTTTACTTCAGAGTTCATCCAGCCTCCTGGGCACCAAAAGTCAATTTCCCTACTCCTTAGACTCCTCTGTTTGCTAGTCTACCCTTTCCTCTGCCTCCACCTGAACTCTTGAGCTATCTCTGGACTGCCTGGAGAGTATGTGTGTCCAAAAGAATGATACAGGCTCAATTAATTTTAAATATTCAAATGGATCAAAAACAAGAAGGGGAAAAATGTAGAGATCCACTTTTCTTCTAGCACCTTTGAGCAGAACAGGACTATCTACCTGAAGAACAAACAGTTAAAACTATAAAACCAGTATTAGCTAGAAACTTTCTTTTTAATGGAAGTGCGAGTTTAAGCAGAACAGTGAGTGATCAATAACCCTGTGGGTGTCTCTTTTCTTTTAATCCAAATTATTATGCAGACCCCTTTCCCTCTGTACTACAGGAACACTGCAAAATGCTTTCCAAATGGAAAAATGTTTCTGTAAGAACTTCCACATACCTGTGAAGTGACTAGGTTAGTCTAGTTAGTGTTGCAACACACAAAGGCAAAGTGCACACGTTTCTGAACTCAGAATTTGTTAGTTAAGTGGAAATGCTGGCTTGCAAGCACAACTTTATGCAAAAGAAATTTACTCATCTTGTAAGACGTTTACTACAAAACAAACAAACAAAAAACCCCTAAACTCTGAAGGCTAATTAATCCCTTTCACTATGGAAAGCTGGGCAGCTTGGTGTAGACCTTAACATTTGACTGTGCTACAGGTATACTTCTTAAAAATAGCAAAGAAATGAGGCCTCAGGAACTTAAAACACACACAATCAGCTTGTTTTTTCCATTTTATGCTTCACTTACAAAAACAAAAGGCTGTTACCTACTTAATTCCTGTGTTTACTACTACCTACATGAAAATCAAAATGTGAATGGCTTTATATTTCTGTTAACAGTCTATGTAGCAGTAATTATCTGTTTCAAGGGTAATGCATCCTTTCAGCAGCACTTGGCCAGCTTACCAAAGCATATACTGGGAAAAAAAAGTAAATCACACTCAAGCCTGCTCAAACAGAATGACTCCAGGGTCTGACAAAGCCAGGAGACAGCATGGGTTGACCCAGGGCGAGATAATCAGACTCCCCTGTTAGCTGGTCCAGGGCTCAGAGGTCCTACCAGGGAGCCAGCTGCCCGGCAAGACTCAAGCTCCTGTTGCTGCTGTTGCTGTTGTTCAGCTACCAGTGGGTCAGAGGAAGAGGCAGCAGACGATATGGCATAATGACGGGTTACAGTCTCCTGAAAAGAAGGAGTAGACAGAGGAAAGACTGTAGGAAGAGAAAGGTGGAGTGAAGGCACAGGAGTATGGCAACAATGTTTCTCTGGACTTGCACTGATAAATGGGACTTCCTAAAAGATGTCTCAAGTCAAACAGGTAATCAAAACTTCATAAAGTAGGGTCATTATCCATGACAAGGCAGACAAGTAGTTTATTACACAAATTTTCAGTGTGATGAAAACCAGCTTCAAGCTTTTCCTATTCACCACGTGTTACAAAGGTGCCTGATCACAAGGCAGTCTTAATACTAGGCTACATGTCACAGGCTCATCCCTGCAAGATAGGGGAAAAAAAAATGCAGAACGCCAGAATAAAGTTTAGCCTACCCAGTACCTGAAACTTCTGTATTTTTGTTAAAGATTTTCAGCTTAAAAAAAAAAAAAAAAAAGAAAGCCAGCATTAAAATAGCTTTAGTCTACAGAAATCTGCCTGGAGTGGAGTGCACCTTTCTCTTTTCTGACCTGAAACAAATTGAGAAGCTTCATTCAACTCGCATGTGCTGAGCCAGCATTTTCTCCAAACAAACTCTTACTCTTCCTCTTCCCTTTTTCCTGCTCTTCACACAAATAATCAGACAGACGTGCACCAAGCTCATTAAGAAACCCCAAACCAGTCAGTTTTAAACACAGGCAGGCTCCTTGATTCAGTTAGACTTGTAACCACATAAGCCATCCTCACTACAAAGATGGGTGAGCGAGCAACAAGGCTATTACTTCTCCAGCTCATAACACACCAAAAATTACACTTAGTACAAAGCCATATCAACTGCCAAGCAGGACTGGATCTTGCAAAGTAGTAATACGCTTTACAGTTCATTGCACCTACTTTTTAACCCTAATTGAAGCCGCATGTCTCGTGATGAGATGCTTGTACCTAAGGATTTCTACTTTTACAGATTTATTTTATTTTCACAAAAAGATTTTGAAATGAAGAAGCAATAGAAGATTACAGACATCCCCCCAAAAAAGTTTACAGAGCTTTAAGAGTGCTGCTACTCCTAGAAGGCTAAAGTAGTCATGTTACTTCTGATCTCTGGAAGGATCCAAAAGAGTAGCCTAAGCCTCTCTGAAAGAAAACGTGAGATTTTTAGATAAAACTGATTCTTTTTCTGAGAGAAAACAATGCAGCGCTTGACCCAGATAACAGAATCTTATAGATAAATCCACTGAAGTTACTCACATAACTGTCATTTTCAACTCACCCCAAGCTCTCAGAAACACAAGGTCCATGCAACACTGCATCAAAACTGAAACAAGTTCCTTAAGATCTAACTCAATTGTGCATGCTTTGGTGGTGTTTGGACTGTACACTATCTTAATCTCATCTAAAACCGCGATTTATTGCCTAATTTCCACTGCAGCTTCTTTCATCCGTATGCTGGTTGCCGCCCAGAAAAAAACAAATGACAAACTTCTAATAGGAGTTAGCTATAAACTAGACTTCAGAAAGACTTCAAAATCTCCATCCTTCTCCACTTCCTCCTCTGAAAGCCATCTTCCCCACTGACCAACAAATCTGGTTACTGTCTACGGAAAAAAAAAATGAATCGCAAAAACAAAGAAGAAAGAATCGCCGGGGAAAAGGGCTCGGCCGAGCGTCCGTAAACAGCGAGCGCCTGAATGAAGCACCCGCGAGGGTGGTTTTACCTCTCCGCGGACACCGCTGGGGCCCGGGGCAGGCCCTCGGGTTAAGCCCCGCGGCTCTGCGCGGCTACGAGCACAGGCTCGAGGGGGCGAGCGGCGAGGCCCGGCCACCCCCGGTGCTCCTCGGACCCCGCGGGGGCCGCGCCCGGGCGGGACGTGCCGCGGGTGACAGGCGCCCCTCGGCCCAGCCTGCCCCGGCAGGAAGAAGCTATTGGCCTGGGTGCCGCCAGCGCTGGGGCGGCGGCACCGGGGCTCCGCTCCCCACCAGCCCAGGGGAAAAAGCCGGGGCAGGGGCCGCCACCGCTTCCCCTCCATCAGCCCCACGGGGCCCGCCGTGGCCGAGCGCGGGCCTCCCGCCCCACCACTCACCAGGATGCGCTTGAAGAGCGCGTTCTCCTTGGGCGGCAAGCTCACCGACGGCATTCTCCCCGCCGCTGGCTCGGGCGCCGCCGAAGGGCTCCGGGGAGGGGGGGTGGGCGACCGGGCTGCGTCCCGTCCCCGCTGCTCGCTCGCCGCTGCCGGGAGCCTCCCCGCCGAAGTCTGTCTGCTACTACCGCCGCCTCCCCACCCCCCCGCCCTCCCTCCCACAAACCACGGCGCTCTCGCCGGCCGCGGGCCCGGCCTCTCCCGGCCGCCGTCTGCGCGCCGGGCTGCCCCGCGCCGAGCCCCGGGCGGCGGCTCACGTGGTAACTGAACAGGCCGGAGAGAGGCGCCGCCAAAATGGCCACCGCCGAGGGCTTCCCCAGCCGGGTCACGGCAGACCACGCGCATGCGCCGCGACCCCGCGCCGCCGCAGGGCCCGCCCTCGCCCCCGCCAGGTGGGACAGGATGGGACGGGCGGTGACGGGCGTACCCCGGCCCGCCCGCTGAGTCAGTGCCTGCGCGCCGCGCGGTGCTGGTACTTGAAGCCGTCACCGGTTAGCCCCGAGGGGGTCTCGCACGGGGCCGGGCTGGCGGAGCCGGTTTCCCGCGCGGAGCTGACGAGCAGCGTATCCTCGCTGCCGTCAGCAAGTGCGGTTACGGGTGGGGGAAGAGGGCGGGATTGCGCAGCGGGCCTCGTGCGGAGAAGCGCGTCCGCCCGCCGCGCCCGGGAGAGAGGCGAGGCGAGGCGAGGCGAGGCGAGGAAGGGCAGTCCCTCCCCCGTGGGCGGGGCGGAGCCGAGCCGACAAGATGGCGGTGGCACTGAGAGCGGAGAGGGCTTTGAGGTTGGCGGCCAGAACGCCAACTCTCGGTGAGCCGCCCTAGGGCACAAGCGGGGCTATTGTCGCGACTCGGAGTAGTGGGGAACCCGCTTTGGTTTAGGCGGATAGGAGCTTGTTCTGTGTTCCGGGAGCGTGGTGCGTGAGGGGACTGCACCGATGCTCCGCGGCCTGCTCGCTGACCCGGGTGCTGTGGGAGCTTGGTTGCCTGCGGGGTGCCAGCGGCGTGCCCGTTAGCTGGAGCGCTCTTCGTTTTGTACCTGGAGTTACAGCAAGCTGCTGTGTCAGTTTTCCTCGCTGTATTTTTATCTAAACTAACTAGTCGTATATAGGTTGTTTTTTTTTCCAATGTGGAGCTGGAGCTGGTTATGGTCAGGGTTGACCCGCTCTTCTCCGCTGTGGTGCTGGCGGTGCCCTCGTGGAGTGCGGGGAGCGTGGGGTGGGCAGTCATGGAAGCTTTGGGGTCAGCAAGAGGTGACCTAGCAAAAGGGTGGGGTAGGAAAGGGAGGAAGGCACTGCTCTGAACTGTTAGTAGAGCCTCATCTCTTCATAGTTCAGGGAGTACATGCTGCAGTTTATCCACACATGGGTGAGTTGTAATGCTGTTATGGTGACCAACTTTATGTAATAATTGCATTTATTTCAGCTTTTTGTAGTCTGTGTTTTTTTCCCGGATTGCTTGAGTGTCAGTAATTGACTTGGTAGTCTAAGCCTGAGAAATGCTAATGTGTTTGTAATCTTCTGCCATTTTAGCTTTTTTTCGTTCCGCATTTGTTGCAAGAAAACGTAATTATAACCAACCAAACTGGCTTGGAGTTGGCTTGGCTTTTGGCACCAGTGCTGCCTTGTGGGCTTATGTAAGTGGTTTTGTTTGGTTTTATTGAACTTTATGTGGGTTTGAACTATTCCCAAACCGTACAGATCTGAAGGTAATGACTGCAACCTAGTCAGCTGATTGGGGTAATGGGTGTTTATAGCAGGTGTCAAGATTGAAGCATTATTAATTATGTTTTCCCAAACTATGTTGTGCTTTTCTTTATGACAGTGAACATATTATTAAGCTTTTCTCTGTTACAAACTTAAAACATCTGAAGCAGAAGAATTTATTCCTCAGGTCTATTGGTTTAAGGCTTTAACATTATTTTCCCCAATGGATCTTAAAGAAAAACAAGGGAGGAAAAAAACCTAGGGGTGTGCCTAAATGAAGTTGTGTTTCTGAGCAAAAGGTAGATGTAAGATGTTCCCAGTTTCAGAGAACTCATAGGCTCGATGTTGATAAAGCAAGCAGGGCATGGTAGGTTTTGTGAAGAAATGTTCAGGATAAGCAGCACTCCCATGTTGACCATCCTTTTCAGGGCGCGTGTGGGGTCCCTTTGGGTTTTTTTCCCATTTTTGTGGTGGTGGATTGATTGACAATAGGAACCTTCCCCCTACTTTCAGTTGGCCAGCAGAAAATGTTTGAGAAAGCTGCAGAAAAAAATGCCTTGTTGGATAGTTTACAGATCATTTATTCTGTATTGTTCTAGTTACATATTGGTTTGTATTTTGATAATAGCAATTTTATGTGCTGTAGAAATATTTTTCTGTTGTCCCAGATGTTTATCATATACTGCTGTTTTATAGCTTTTCAAGCAACATAATGATGATGTAATGGAATATGAAAGAAGAAAACAAGAGAGACAACATAAGTGTACAGATTGCTCCTAGTAAGTGTATACCTACAGATGCTTTTGACTTAGCTGAATGTAAATTATGCAGACCTTTGACTTGGGTTTGCAATCAGATACTGGACTGGCTTGTCTTCCTCCCTTATTTTCCTTAATATTTTGCATCTTGGCTATTGCTATTCATCTAACTCATTCCCAGTTTTAAAGTGATAAGGTGACTGATCCGTATTTTCATATATCCATTTGTGTGCATATTCACTGCCAGCTGTCTTGGATATGCAGGCTTTGGAAAAATAACATATCTCTTACAGTGTCTATAATAAAGTTAGGTTGCAAGGAGAATACCTTACAAGTGCTTTAGTGGCAAGGTGATCAAGTGCACTAAGAATACCTTATCTTTGTCTCCTTTGTTATTTTAACAGGTCTACAGTGGGAAACATTTTTCTGTTTCACTTCTATATTGTGCATAAGAATGATATAAAGTCAAGGCTGCAGACTTGTGCTACAGTGCAAGTTGTGTGTGGTCACTGCCCTTTTGATATAAAAAAGTTGTATTTCTGCCAGCTAAAATGTCTGTTGGGGATTGTGGCCTCAGGGCAATTAATATGCCACAATGGGATTGCTAATAGTAAGTATAGGAAAACTTGTAGTGGTGTGGTTATTTTTCCCATAATCATTCCTCTCCAGCTAAAAATGCAGTATGCTGTGAGGTGTTTCTGACAATATCCATTGTGTCTATTTTTCTTGTTAAGATTTTTTTTCCCTCCCTCTTTCTTAGGTTGACAGTATGATCAGCAAGAAGCAACATGCTCGCCACTTGTCCTGCAAATAAGTGCAAGCAGCAGAAGTACAAAGTGTCTAAATACTTACATGTTCATACATTTCATGTGCAGAATTATGAAATAAATTATGAAGTATGAAAGAAAATTATGAAGACTTTTCTTGCCATTTATATTTCATTCTGCTGGTCTTGAAATGGTTTTATGTGGCATTTCTCTTCCATAGTTTATCATTGTTCTTTTCAAAACTCTTTGGAAGGTGTTCTGCAACATTAGACATTGGCTCAGAAGGAAGCTCAGCAAGTATTCAAGAAGCTAAGTATACCCTTGTCCTGCAGCATTTTCATTGCTAAATTTATAAAGTAAGAGATAAGCAAATACAAGAATGGCATTTATGGGAAACCTGATAAAATGATCTGTACAAAAGCCAAAATGTGCATTTGTTACTTTGTCCATCAGAGAAGCAGCTTTCAACTCAAATCTTGACCAGGTAGGCTTTCAAAGCTTGACCTAGTGACTTACAGATGCCATAACCAACATTATACATCTGTTTGCAAGCTTGGTCTGGTTCCTTGAGTGCTGCTGCTTTTCAGTCCTTTGTTGTCCGAATTGATTTTAATTATTTTTAATTCTCTTCCCCTAGAGCAGAGATGAAGCTGTGTCAGAGAACAAAAATTGGAGGTGCCCAGCCTTTGAATTCTATGTATCTTCATCCTTTTTAGGAAGTTTGCTTTGTTTTTGCGACTGCTTGCAAAGCTGAAATGTATTTTCAGAAAGTGAGGACAAAAGTGCAGTCTTGAATCTCGGAGGCTGTTTATTTGACTCCTCAGTCTGTCCCTTCCTCAGGGGCTGTTGCACACATTCTCTTGGGCACAGCAGCTTTTCTGTCTTGCTGCTTTCAGGCTTATTGCAGATGGAGCTGTATCCTTCTAGTCTCCAAAGACCTGCTCCTTGGAGATGTGGTAGTCGGAAGTTAAGAGGGTGCTGTTCTGTGCAGTGCCTTATCCAGGGTTCATGCCCTGTGTGGCAGAGGCTGGTGTTTCCTGCTCTTTCTGGAGTTGCTCATGGCCTGAAAGGTGCTCAGAGCCTCTGTGGTGAGACTACAGAGCTGCTGTCGGTTTCCAGTGTGAGTGCTGCCTTCTGAATGCTTGAGCTGTCTCTTCATGCATCAAGGTCAGTCAAGGACAAAGGACAAAAAAGGGGATAATGACAAGCGGCAGGATATGGCATCAGGAAATCATTGAGGGACCATCAAAGTAGTTTGTAGAGGAGAAATGCGTAACGGCACAGCCGTTTAACGATGTGGGGAGGAAGAGGACAGCTGGGTGGCTCTGACCTAGAGGCACCCGTGATTGTAACAGCTGATGTGACTTGTAGCGGGATTTACTTATGCAAGCATTTTTCTAGTGACCTTGAGCCCCTCTGTACTGGCACCGTCCCCGAATGCCTTTTGCCGTCGGTTTAGCTTGAGTTCTTCAGAAATTGTTGGTGGAAGACCGCTCGTGGAGAGCCTTCTATTCTAGTTAAAGCACTAGCCTCGCTCCTCACAACCTCCCCCCTTTCACCTTTCCGCACGCTCTGGGCCTGTGCAGCTCTCGGTGATTCTCGCTGTCGCAGCCCGCTGGCGTGTGGCGCGCCAGTGTCTCTGTTTAGCCCTCCCCTTCCGCGGCGGCGCTCTCTGTCCCGCGTCCCGGCAGCGGCGGTCCGGACGTTGCGGCACCGGCCCGGCTCGGCTCCCACGCGACCCCGGGACAGGCGCCCAGGTGCGGCTGCACGCGGCTCGGGGCGGGGCTGCCGCTGGCCCCGCCCTCCCCCACGGTGGCCCCGCCCCGCAGTGATGGGAGGGGTGGGCGGATCGGTGTCTTCTGCCGCGGCTGTAGACCTGAGCTGTCCGGCAGCTCGAGGTGCCCTCTCCGCCGCACGGTTCCCGCTGCTGCCGCCGCCATGTATCTCTGCAGGGCCGCCTCGCAGGCGCTGGCCTCTCGCCTGAGCAGGGCTCCCTCTGCTGCGAGCCGCCTCAAGCAGCGTGGTACGCGGGGGGCCGCCTCAGATCCCGAGCCGGGGCCCGGTAGAGGTCAACGGGACAGCGGGGGGTGGTGGACGCGCGGGGCGGGGCGGGACGTGACGCGCCCCCGCCGGTCCGCGGTGTGGGGACGCGCCAAGGTCGCGGGCCGGGGGTCGCAGGTGCGGCGGGCGCGCTGCGCGGCCGTTAGCCATCCCCGCCGTGTGAGGGGACGGGCGGGAAGGAGGAAGCCGGGTGCGGCTGCTCCGTTATCGCGCTGCTGGGAACCGGCTGCCTTGGCATCTCCGCAGCGTTTCGGCTGGGCGGCACCGCGCTCCTCGCCCGTGGGAGAACCGGCTAGGCCTTCCCCCCCACCCCGCTTCCCCCCACATCCGTGAAGCAGGCTCGGTGTCGGGCAGGTGTAATCCCCCTCCCTCCGCGGGGCGGGCGCCATTATCCTCACTTCCATCCTCCGCAGAATCCCCTCAGGTGTATGTCCAAAGCGATGGTTTCCTCAGCGCTCTGCAAGCCCCCGGGGGAGCGGGAATCAGCCTGCGGGGCTGCAGCCGTGGCTTTTGGCGTATCAGGAGTTGTGTAACCAGCATATAAAAAAATAAATCGTCCTGCCGGGCTGGGTGATTGCAGGGTGGCTGAGCACTCTCCTACCTATAGCATGCAGCCTTTGGGAAGATGGTATTCCCAGCGCACTGCTACAGATCGTATATAAACGTAAGAAGATCCATTAGACTACCTGACTATCCAAGAGGAGTCTGAAAAGTGTGTCATGAGGCGGATGACGCTAAACATAATCTGGCACGCGATGGCAGTGGTTTGAGATGGAGACTTTTTGCAGCTACTGATTGCAGTGCTCAGAGCTGTTTTATGTTTAACAAGTGCCTTTTCAGTGAGGTGTTTCTCCTCTGGGATAGAGTCACAAAATTTGGCTGAAAGCGTTATTGACAAACAGAATTGTGTTTTTCCTAGGTCTCATTTTTAGATGTACAGAAGAACTCAAGGCTAGAGCAAGCATCAAAGCTGCAGAACTGGTGAATGCAAATAAACAGCTAACGTTGCTGTTACAGTGAATATGTACTCAACTAAGGGTAAAATTGTGTAATGCTGCCTTTCAGCCCTGTTGGCAGATATTTGAGGTTATGGGGTATGGGCATGTCTCTTAATGTCCACAGTCTGTTTGAGGGTGAGGGAATGAGCATTCAAAGGAAAACGCCTTTTCTTAAAGTGCTTTGTTACTAAAGGGAAGAGGGTTTCATCATTGCAGCAAGGCTGAATAAGGACAGATTAATTCTTCTATGTACCTTAGGCAGAAATGTTTTTGCATTTCTCAGGTCATTCTGTAGCCTCTATAGATTGCATCCAGTACTTGGAAGCTGATAGACAACGTAGTTCGTGTAAAATCTGATGAAGAGCTCAGCCCGGTATCGTGTTCAGTTATGCACCATGCCCTGCATTACTCAGTTGTACTAAACACAAAGCTGTACCTCTTTGTTTTGTTACATCATTTTTAAATCATCCTTTCCCATATGGAATTCAGATCCTGGCGTTCTGTTTTGGGGTCATATTTTAGCTGCATGTTTACACTGATTTCAGTAATGTTTTTTTATAGCACCTCTTCGCCAGATGTCATCTGGGAGTGTTCCTGGCTCATCTGGAGAGTCCATGTTTTACTATCTTCTTACTGGTGTTGCTGCTTTTGGTGGTTTATTTTATGTAAGTGTTTGGGAATGGAACTGTTGTGCTTTTTGAGTTGGCATGGTGTAAGGTTAAAAATTGTCTTCAAACCATCAGTAGAGTGTGGATGTCATAGCATATAATTCAAGACAATCTAACTTAAAAACAAGTTCAGGAGAACTGGTGAAACTGAATGCCTACTGCTTGCCTGTTTTACTGTTACCTTTGATATCTAGTGCTGTTGTCATTCTTAGCGAAAAACGTATTTAAAGCCATGTGAAATATACCCAAAGGCATAGTAAGGCATCTGCCTGTAACCCCTTGCTTCTTCTTGTCAACCACAAACATTAAGAGTATCTCAAAGTAGGCAAGATGTATGTGAAATCAGCTGTCTGAAGCTACGGGGGGGAGATTATGAACCTCGTTAATTGGGGCACAGAGGAAGATAAGAATATTAGTTACTTAGAAAAATCATGTTAAAGTTTTGTGAACAACTACTTTTGTCAGGCTTTTCAATAATCATGGTCTTCCCTGCAACTAAATACATCAGACTTTGTGCTTCACATGCCTAAAACCTCCATTTCGTAGCCACCCCCAAGATTTGAGACAATGAGGTAGTGACTAGCACCCAGAGAGGTGCATGTTTCCCTTTCCCACAAAACAATCCTCTTGAATGGTAAGTAGCTTCTACTTCTTTGAAATACAAAACTCGTGTGATTGCATATCTGGAGGAACAGTGAATTCTCTTGCTGTCACCTTTTTACCATAGTTATTTTTTCATTAAATAAATAATCCAATTGTAATTGTCTTTTCAAATACTGTGTTCTATTCCTGAACTGCTGCAGCACTTTGAAAGCTGCGTGGTATATTGTGTTTGTTTTCTAACAACAGAGAAATATGAAATGTATAAATATGTTAGTATAGCAAAATAGATTTTTAATTTATTTTCCTAACGTTGCTCAGCAGAATTTGATATGCCTTCTAATATGGGCAGTAGCACTTGCTTCAAAACCCTTTTCTTCCTCTCCCCTCTTTTTGTTTGGTAATTTTGTAGGGATGTAGCAATAAGTTTAGATATAATTTCCTTTCAGGCTTACAGAATAGTCAGTTCATCCCGCAGCAACTACATTGAACATGTGAATATTCTTCATGAGAGATCTCAGGGGCGGAAAGACAAACGTGAGTTGAGCTCTTCTCTCTTGTTCCCTGGGTGCGCGAGGATCTGGAACAGATTTCTAGATTGTCTCATCAGGCTTTAACCCTGCCCAGGTGCTTTTCCGAGTTCTCTAAGTGGGAGTAAAGACAAAGGTGGTCATGCAGTGATCTGTTACAAAGCTACTTCTGCACAAACTGTGGGAATAGACTTAATGTTTAGGCAGTGAATCTGGCCTGTGATCAACTTTCGGAAGTACCTTTGGAGGGAAAATGTTGAAGTGTGAACCATTAGTTGTACCTTGGGTATTTGCATTGGATTTACTGGAAGCTTAATGAAACCTGACTAAATGCATAATGCTGTCAAAATCAGTTTTATGCTTTTGTTTGCTGAGGGGGAAGGGGATAATATCTGTTCCTCAGCCAACAGTTTGGCTCCAGGCCACATGCCATCAAGGAATACAGTTCAAAGGAAAAAACCTAAGGTTTTGATTTTTTTAAATACTGTAAGTCGGACCCTATTCTTGTCCCACAATTTGCATTTTGTCCTTTTAAATTCAGGATTAAATGAAAAGTAGATACCACCTAAGTGTATGGCAAATTCTAACTTAGCTCTTCATGCTTAAATAATTAGACCATGTTAGTTCAAATACTTGTAATGGAATGTTGTCTCTGTCTACATCAATTAGTGTTATGGCAGCATTAATATAAAGGGAGAACTTTGGCAGGCATGGCCTTGCTAGGAAAAACAGAAAAAAATGGCTTCTTCAGCATCTTTATATTTTCATTTTTAAAATAAATTAATGCTGTATCACTTTCTTCCTTTTTTTTCTGATGCTGTCATCTAGAGAATTGATTTCTGCATGCACACAAAGAATAGATTTGCATAGAGTATGCTGAGGTTAAATTTTGTTTTCAATGTGAGAACGTGCTCTAAATTCTGTGCCGCTAAAATAATTTCTTTTGAAGTTGTTAGTCTTAAAGTTACATGACACATTCTTTAGTTCTGGAACTTTACAGTTACAGATTTTAAGATTTAAAATGGCAAAACACCTTAATTTCTCTTAAGCAGCTGGAAGCACTACAGCTTTTAAACTTAATTCTTTAAATGCTGGAAATTTGGCCACAATTTTAATGCAATCCTTCCTTGTCCCTAAAATTAGAAATTCTAGACAGGACCAAAGTACTAGGTATTTCCTCATAGTGATCTAGTCATCTGCTGTTGAGGGAAGAAATGAGGGTCACACTTACGTTCTGACTAACGTACTCAGATGGACATTGTAGATGTGAGGGCATTAAACATACCTTCCAGGGCATTCAAAATGATGCCAGTATGTTCCCTCTTTTCTCTTAAGGTTCACTTCTGCAAGGTACTGAGTTATAACCCTAGTCTTCCAAAAGATTTGAGTGGGATACCAGAGGTCAGTGGTGCGTGTGACCCACTGAAGGCTATACCTGTGTAGCCCAAGACTAGCGCAGGAGTACTCACTGCTCTGCAACTTAATTCTGACTTTGGGTACTCTCCAGACATCCCATAATTTGATGCCTTGCACTGCTTAGTGATGGCAGATGATTGCTGCCTCCCTTATTATTGGTAGTATTGCCAATAAGAAGTCCAAAGCATTTCTAAGACCATACAGTGAACACAGTTGAAACTTGTTTCCTGTATTATTTTTCATATTGGACTTCTGAATAAACACTCAACTAAGAGTTTTTAATTGGACTTCTGAGTGGCTAATTCCAATTCACAATACAAAGCTACTGTTGAATCAGCTCTTACAAAAATCCTTCTTCATTCCCAACTGTATCCTCCCAAAAGAGGTTTCTTTTGTTACTTTTCCTATGAAATCCTCTGTGTGCTTTCTCAAAGGAATTAGTGTCTCTTCCTTCCCTTTTCCTCCTGTTCCCTGTTTTTGTGTGCATTGTGACACAGATTGTTACCGTAGTATTGCTTTTCCCAGAAGTGCCCCTGCAGCTTCTTTCCCCACTGTTTAGACTCAGTCCTTACACTTTTTCACAGTGAGCATTGCTGATAAGAGCAATTAAAAATTCTGTTCTCAAAGTAATCAAATATTTTTAGGGTCATGTAGAATCAAGCTTAAAATAAGCTGTAAAACAGTTTTGGTAACAGTATGAAGTGGTGGATAGAAAAGCAGCTTGCCAAACACCACTTTCATGGAATATTTGCTGCATGTCCTATCGTAAGTGAAGAGCTTTCTACCTGAAAGAACTTTATACTAGGGAGCAGCTGATCAGAGACTCTCCTGATATGAATTATTTTTGTGTTTTCTCATCCTGAGGAAAATTTTCCACTTGTCCTCAAACCCAAAATGTCTATTCTAAAGGATGTAGTAATGCATGTAGTGAGCAAGGCTATCACTATAAAGGAAATAATCAAATGCTATTCTAGGTTTGTTTGTTTATTAGAGGGTTGAAATGATATTTAATGGTATTTTAATTAAGGATATCAGACATTAAAAAATATTATCTTACTAGCAAATTTTCTAGAGCTGCTCTTAACTGAAAGCTGCTCACAAATTTAGAGAGGGGTTTAAAAAAGCTCCTGGCAGAAGCCTGACTCCAAGTAGCAGTAGGAAATCTGGGACATCATTTGAACTGTAAAATGATGTTTTCCTTGCAGAACATTCTACTTGTTTATTTAGCAAATAACTGATTTTTCTCTTCCATGTGCATGTGTCTCCTTGAAACTTGTTCCTGATTTCCTTCTTTCTTAGCAATGACTTCTTTTTAACTTAATGCAAGCTGATTCAATCTTTCTAATCTATACTCTGCTTTTACACTTTCCAGACTAAAATACAAGGGAAATCTCTTTCCAAACCCGAGGAAGTTAAATACAAACAAAGGACAGTCGTTCACCATTGCGTACCTTGCAGCCTACCTTGGGATGACTTTATACCTTCTATTGTAAAACTCCGTACTTGTGAGACTAAAAGAACTACCTATGTTTGCAAGGCCAAACCATATTGAGCTTATTACTGAATCTGCTTTGCAGAAGGCAGTTCGGAGATTGAGAAGCTGGCTGTTTTGAATGAATGCACTCTATACTTGACTGTCCAATAAAGTGTACTGAATGCTGAGCTTGGCTGTTAGTCTGTTCTTTGTGTAATTGATTTAGGGTGTTTTTGGAATACAGCATTCTCTTAAAGGGACATGATCAGGTTGTATAACACAAAGCTTTGATTTCTTTGCTGAGCAACTAATAGGCTTGTGTTTAAACCCGAGCACAAAAAGATAGGCTTGCACTAGCCTAAAAAAAAAACAGAATTAAAATTGATCTGTTTAGTTTTTAAACAGATAGAAAAGAATAAAATAAATTCTGACTATGTCTCTTTAAGCACTTTCCTGTCTATTCTCACTTAGTTTACACTATATTACAAACTTTATTTCCAGTTCTGTGTTTTCACATGGTGAGTTGGTTCTAGTGGTAAACTTGCAGTGAATACTTGGTACATAACTTTTCTTTTGTTAACTTGATCTTAGTGCATGTTTGCATGGTGGTTGTGCATCTTTGTTGCATTGTGCCATTAGTTTCTAATGACTTGTCTCAGTTGAGTTTGAAGTAATGCATGACTAGGAAACACTGTTTTTTTGTTTCTAGCAATTTTGACCCACAGAAATGTAGTCAAGTCTTTAAAGACAGATAGAAGTTGTAAAAAGAAAATTATTTGTCATAAGCAGTCATATCTCCAGTAAAGTGAATGCTGACCACTTCAAATTAGCCAGTTATTTTCTTACTGATATACACCTAGTTTCAGTAAGGGTCCCCTGTTTTATTCTGCCCCACAGACCTGACCTTTCTTGTTTGAGTGCTATGGCTCTTGCAGGGGTTACACTGCCTTAAATCTAAAGAAAGCAGGGCAAATAAGGATAGTGGAGTACTTGTGGCAGTACAGGGCTAAGAAATGTCACAAAACCGATGGCTGTTGGCCTCAGCATTATTATAGCTATTGCCAGCCAAGTTAGCCACCTTAAAAATAGCCCTGTGAAGACTGAAAGCATATCTCAGCTTGCAGTGGTTCTGAGCCTGATGGATAATGAGCTCCATAACAGCTTCTAATTATGGTAGCAGATGTCTTACTCTTAGTGTGGTAATTCCACTGCTGGGTGCAAACAGGGCAAGAATCCTGCTCCCTCTGACACCCTTGAGTGCATTATCACTGGCCCTTTCAGTACAGGGTGCTGGAGCAACGCTTGGTGAGGTCCTTCTTTATCCTTCCCTGCACTTCCACCTCTTCCAGATACTTGCTTTAAGCCACAATTTCTTTTCTTACTACACTGAAGCAATTATGAAAATCAGTAATTAAGAATATGGTTTCCTCATCTTGTAAACATCTTTTTCAGTGCCACATTAGACAATATGGGGGGATTAATTATTGATTTCTTGACTTTGTAAATGCTGATCCCAAAGCTTAGCTTCCCATTTTAAATTTAAAGGAGAATGGTGGTAAAAAGCAGTGTGTGAATTTGTTGCATGCATGCACTTTACTCTCTTTATTGTATTAAATAAATCCTTAAAAGGTGATGAAGAAGAGACGGCTGAAGTCACTGAAGCAGAGACAGCCATGGAAGAGGCTGATGCAGTAGCTGCTGCTGGACCTGCAGCACAGGATGAGAATGCTGGGGTATCCCCAGAAACTGGAGGGGAGAATGACCTACCAGCTCCAGAACCATCCCCGGCTGTGGAGAAAGCACAGCAGGAAGCTGCTGCTGACTTGGAAGTTGCTGCTAATTCAGAAGCTGCTGCAGTGCAAGGTTAACTTAAGAACAGAGTCTTTGTGCGTGTGTTTTGTGAGTCCTAAAACTCTGCCTCTTACTACAGAACATTAAGAACAAACGTCAGTGTTCCTAATGGAGTTTGTCCTGCAGTAATTGAGGAGTTAATTTGACATATGATGTGCTTAAGGTAATTAAGTTAGTAATTAAATCAGTGTCTCTCAAAGCATGCTGCCTCTGGCACCACAGTCACTGTCTAAAACTAGTGGAATTAGAAAATTTCTCATTTTTCCATTCTATTTCTCTTCTTTAAGAAGGTGAGCATGTAATATGATCAGCTAAGGAGTTGTTTCGGTGACCTGATTGTTAAGGGTTTGTTTAGGAATCTAAATGCCTTATTTCACTGGCCATTCCCAAGATATTCACACTAAATAATAATAGCTGTGCTGTTAATGCAACTTGAACAGAATCTTTCATAGCAACCAAAATATTGTCATGATCTCAGTTTTAAGGTTATAGTGGGTTAAAAATGTCAAAATTCAATAAAACATCAAGTTGGCATTAAACACTTATGTTGATAAGTGGCTACATAGCTAGTATTTTGAACTGTCAGGGCATTTGAAATATTCTGGTTTACTGGGCTTTTCAAAAAATCACAATATAAATGCAAACCTATCCATAAGTTGCACAAAGTACAGGATTATAGTGTAGCTTGAGTTTTTAGCACTTTTTTTTTTTTTTTTTTTTAAATTTAGTTTTATACTACTAACTTCTAAGGACAGAGCACCTCTTGACCTCTTCAGCTGAAGTTGGAAGGGACATGCATAAAAGAATTGCAATTTCTCAGTCTATGGGAAAGCATCAGTCATTTGCATCTGGTGTCTTCAGTTCAAAACCAAACCAACCAAAATCTTGCCAGCCTATTATGAGAGAGAAACTTTGCTCTGCTTCTTGCTTTGGAAGGGAAGACTTCAGTGTGGCTGTAGCAAGTATAAAAAACACTGGCATGGCTTTCAGCTTGCCTTAAGCATGGAATCTTGACTGCACACCCATCTTTGACTGAGTGAGGAAAACGAGCATCTACTTAAAAGGGTATATCTAAAACAAGCCAAACTGAGATGAAAAGTATTCTAAATGCTAGTCTGTGGGATGTTATCATAGTACCTTGAGAGTTATTACCAGATTCTGGAACTGATTTTGCCTTTTTCCTTGATAACTCCAGCAAGGAATGGATGCATCTCAACTGCCTTTTTAACAAATGAACTTGAGAAATGGTGCAGCATGTTGAATAGCTGGCTCTTGTGAAGGGTCTAGGTATGAATGGGGTTTAATTTGTGTGTGAACATCTCCTGTGCTTCTCTGAAAACCAGCCTATAAATAAACCAGCCTATATATAAAACTATAAATGTTTTAAAACAATATTTGGACCAATCTGCTAAAAATAATTTCCATTTCTATGGAATATTTAGACCATTTCATTTATAGAAGAAGTAGTCTAATATATGTTAAGGTTAGTGAATTAGAGCTGTTAAAGAATGTTTTTAAAAGTCTTGCAGCGTTCACCTCTTGTTCTACAGAGCAATTGCAAAATTTCACTTTAAGGAATGGGCACTTGCTTGTATCTAGAGTTGGTTGAATATTCCTTTCACAATGTTTATCGAGGGATATTTGTTTATTCTTGGATAGGGCAGGGTCTTCCATACAGTAAGTATTCCTGCTGCTCTATTGAAGAGGAAGCAGTTAAGATCCCATATAAGCTAAAGCATTTCATATCAAGCAGCAGAAGCTGTACTTCCTCTCAGTAATTACTAGCTTCTAAGTCAAGAGAGCATTCTCCCTGGTGTAGCATTGCTCAACCTCTATGATGTTTCTGGGCTGTTAGAACTTGCTCCTGAGAGCGGTGTTCTCATGCTGCTGGTCACCAGTGCACTGTTGGCAGTGACTGTTGGTAACAGGTGTGCCTGAGTCAGGCGTGAACCCTATGGGTCTCATAAGGAGTTCACCTGAGGTTCCTCACTGGGACTGAGCCCCTGTGGTGGCTGCATAACCCAAGTCCTGCCCTGGGAGGCTGCAGAGGCTCCAGTCAGGTCACCTCAGTGTTCGGCTGCTCCTCTCCTCCTGGCCACGTCTATGGGAGGACAGCGTGACTGCTGAAGAGCTTCTTCCCTTGGATTTCCTGGGAACTGCCAGGGGCCTCTGGCTCCTGACTGTGTGAAGGGCTTAACAAGCAGCATGTGGTCTTACATGCACAGGCTTAAACTGGTATCCCTTTCCTTCAAACTATGTATAAGCTAGTTGCTATTGGCATAACACTTAAAATAGAAGAAGACGGTGTTTTGATTCAAAAAATCTCTGCTCTCTATGTACCACTTTGTTCAGTAGTTACTTGCAGTCATCAGCTATTTCTGTTTCTAAAAAAAAGAACATTTTTATCATTAAAATCAGTCTGGAAATACTGGGGGTTGGAACTAGATGATCTTTAAGTTACAACCCAAACCATTTATGGTTCTATGAAATACCTTTCAGTTTTGTATTAAACTATCTTAATCATTTGTGTTCTCTCCATTTAGGGAAAAAAAAAAGTATATTAATTTTTACTGAGGTAGAGAAGGATTTTTCTTTCAGAACTGCCCAGGGAAATACATTCAAAAATGCAAAGCCTTTGCACTTTGAACAAGAATACTTCTTTAAATAACTTTTAGGTTTTTTGGTAGCTTGGTGTTACTTCTTGAAGGTGCAAGTATTTTTGTCATTAGCAGTAAAATCCTGCTTTTTCAAATGCAGTTTTAATCTCTAAGGCTTTCTGTAATATATTTGGAAGTGAAAGGTGCTAGTGAATGTTTATCTGCCTCACCAGAACACATACATGTGTATGTATACAGATAACATGAACGTGTGATTATGCATAGATGTACCAAAAAAGCCCAAACCAACCAACCAAAAAACAACGTTGGAGGTAGGTACTTAATCGTGGTAATTTCAGTTTTAGACAGATAATTACAATTGTACCTGGGTGGAATTTTCTCCTTGCCTCAATTTAAACAATTTAAAACCTTAAATTTTTTTTTTAAGTAACTGGAATTCTGTGAAGTCCTATGCTGTGTTACTCTGTTCCCAAAGCGTTAGCTTCCTCTAAATTCTAGTTTTTGGTACCTTTTTACTATTTGAGCAGTTGGGCTGTCACTCTTGGTTACTACCTGATGCTGGTAAGTTTCCTGCTGTTCTCCTTCTAGTGTACTTTGTGTGTGGGGTCCATGAAATACGGTTATTTTTTCTCCAGGTAGAACAAATGCTATAAAATGCACAGTTTGGCAAGCTGCTAGGCTGCTATTTGGATTAGGCAGAGTTGTTCCATCTGTGATTTTTAATTCTTATATTGCTGCTATAAACTTTTCTCCAATTCTAGTATTGAGGCTTAATGTTTTGGCATTATCAACTGGCATAGCAAAATCTGTGAGCCCCCAAACATGATTTCTGGGACTTCTGACTTTAATAGCATAGGTTCTTTCCTGATTTTGCAAGTATTGAAGGACATGGTCTCTTCTCTGCTATTTCAAACGCCACTGGAGTGAGCAACTGGGCTTGGGGAGGATTAGCGTGTGAATGTGCCAGTATTTTCCATGTTATGCTTTGAATGGCATTACAGTGCCAGTTGTCTGCTGCCTAGAGAAACAAATACAGGCCACACTGGACAGGAGTTAGTTACTGCTTTCTGGACAGGACTTCTGCTAACTCCACCATACAACAGTGCCAGGCAAATAAAAATGCCCAACGTGATCAGCGTACACTGATTTTGGTTGGGAAGTTCCCAAACCCTGGGTGTGTATTCAAATGCTCTAACACTGGGGGTATTTTGAAAATACCTGAGAAGTCCTCAAAGTAATTTGCAAATGCTCATATTTACTCAGAAGCTTTCAGAATGATGTTGCATGGTAGAACAAACACATCTTTCTAGATGTTTTGTTGTGTGAGATGGAGAAAGGAGGAAAAGCCGTGCAACCTGCAGTTGTTTACAACCTGAGGTACTGGGGTAAGATGCAGCATGGACAAACCTTATCCTTTACTGTTAAACCTCTTGTTCACAGTTAGACCTGGTGAAGATAATTACACTTCCTCTCAGCCTTGCTTGTATAGATCACAAGCATCTCGTAACAGGTCTGTTAGTGGCCATTTTCATATATATAATGTCATGGCATGAAATGGGTCTTTAGGTGTAGATTGGTTTCCCTGATTTCCCAGATGGAATCAGGGAAAGTATCTGTATTATCTGACAAAATCTGTGCTTAATTACCAACTGTAATAAAGGTTTTCTATTCTGAATCTCTTTTTAGAGGATATTTTTCCCTCCTTTTCAGTAACTGTGGTAGACTAAGCTAGCCAAATTAGGCTCACAATTATGTGAATAATATCCTACTGGGGAGGTATATCTATGTGGAAGTTCTGTTTGGTATCTCTGCTTCACATTTATCACTTTTTCTGGCCCTTGGGCTGCTGTATTTATCTTGTATCTCTCTGATTACCACGAACTGGCTGCTATCCTCTTCTCTTTTCCCGTCATAAAACTGAGCTTGTAGATGAGTTGTCACAGCACAAATGGAGAATCTCTGTAGAAAGAATGTGAACAATGTTTAGAAAATACTTCTGTAAAAGTTGTGAGCATCTGAAGACACAGGTTGGTAAATGGAGAGGCTGTTTGGTTTAGATCAGCATAGATGAAAAGAGAATTCTACAGCATGCACTGGGTTGGGGAAGAAGATTTCAATAAAATGGAAAAAAACCCTAGAACTTTACAGCTAACAGTGCAAACAAATAAGTGGGGGAGAACTATGTAAGGTAACTGTCTTCCTGTTCATCTGCTGTAGCACAAGGGGACAAGTAGCTTCTCAAAACCGGGTTAAAACTAGTTAAAGGACATAAAGTGAATAATGCGTAAATGATTGTTACTATTAAGGAGAAAATGGATTTACTGCTTTTCACTAATAAAACACATGCAGCCCATAGTCAAGGCTTAAAAAGAATCCTAAAATAATTTTATTTCT